TTTAATTTTTCTCCACAAGAATGCCCAGTCAGCTTAAACTCTCAAGTGCACATGCCAAATGTGAGCCTGTAAGGAGTGAAGCTTGGATTGTTATATCAGAGTGTATTTATCATCTTGTGAATGAAACCTCGCGTTTATGTGATGTCTCAGCTTGAGAAAACACAGACTTGCTGGATCCTTTACACCTGGGGCACAAAACATTGTTTTTGTGACTGGAATCCATTTTTGGATTGGGCTTCCCAAAAGAACATGGGACTGGAACATTTTGTCTACTTTTTGAGTGGTAAACAGAAATTACCTGAAATTAAATTGAAATGAATGGAGTTATTCCATTTCTATTATAGGTACATTGACATTTGGTAGCAACTTTGGAAAAGGCTGCAGGCTGCAGGACAACCTGAACACTGGCTACCCTGTCATGTGCTCAGCATTTATGTAGGAATGGTATGCATAATTCACAACAGCTGATCTAAATTTCCTTCTTGCAATAAAACAGAATAGAAATAAAGCAACCTTATTTACCTTAAGAAAATATCTATTATCACGCTTAGGAGGAACAAATAGGCTCCTTCAAGATAATCCATTTTTATAGATACTTTGCTCTAAGAAGACATAAAGCTGGGTACATGAATGTGAGAGTGTAAGAGAGTGAAAGAGGGGGAAAATATTTTCATTTTTGTGCAGCAAATAAAAGAATTCTTACCTGATGAATGGAACATAAACATTCATTGTTTGGCATGCTCTAAAGAAAAATAATAATAAAGATATGCTTGATGCTACTTCTTTTGTAACCATTTTCAAGTATTCTCATGCATTAAATGAAATCTTGTACATATGGATGTGTGGGTGCTTGATTTTCAGACTAATCAAGTGTTGTTTATGAAACAGAGAATTATAGATTTTCTTTCATGCTCTTTTTTGCTTGCTTGCTTGCTTGCTTGCTTGCGATTTCAGGATGTTTGTATGTCTTCACACAGTGTTTGGATCTCTTGCACCTGTGAAGCTGTTTACTCAGCTATGAACACAATTATGACAATAATAATAGTTGCTTTTGAAATAAACATCTGGAAAACCTTCTGGGTGCTGCATTGATCCAGAGAATGGCAGTCTTGGACAGTTAATGACAAAAAAGGCTAATTTCTTTTCTTGCTTTTTGACCTGTAGAATACATAACCAAATTAAAAAAAAAGTGTAATACTGGAAACTCTTCAGCATGGCTTTATTTATTAGCAGTTGAATAGCGTCCCTAGAAACATTATGAAAATATTGCATGTTGCAATCTCTTTGTTTGACACCAATAAATCAATGCAGTGATTAATATTAGAGTACTGGGTTCATTTATAACAATTATTGTATACATGCCAAAAATTTGTACTCATCCCGTCTGTTACCTCAAAGACAAACTTCTTCATTAAGTGTTGCATCTACCTTCTTCCAGGTCCAGCAATAATCCTGCTAGAAGTGTATACATTGAATTGATCATGTGTTTGATATAACATAAAATATCTTCTTCATATGCAAAAATACTGATTAAGATATTGGTATTGATTTTGATAGAAATGGCTGAGTAGCTTAAATCTGAACCATTTGCAGTTGTTCCTAATTAACTGAGGCTTCATGTTATTGAGTACTCTGTCATTACTCAACTCTTCTTCCCCATCATCGTTATACCCATACCAATACCATCAATGTCTTTTCTGTTCCTGCATTTGGATTCAGTTAGAGCATCCTCTGTCTTCTGGAATACATTTGGAACTTTTACTTATATGCAGTAATAATACAGCTCTCTCTCTGTCTCTATAAAAATCCTATTAATTAATGACAACCAGACTGTATTCAAAATATGATGCCCAATATTAGCATCATACTTTTGAGAAGATCAGAGAAAAAGTGGGCTGAATTAGAAGCAGAATAATCAGAACGATAAGGAAATCAAGTCCTATGAAGGTTAGTAGTATTCCTACTCAACCTATGGAGATCATACTTATGAAAGACCTGATAGCAGCCTTCAAGTGTTGTAAAGGAGATTTAGTTTCTATTGAATCAGAGAGTTGAAGTGAATGGGTAGGACTAGCAAGAAACAATTTTTAATGAAGTGTTAGGAGAAATAACTGTAAAATGAAAGTTCCTGAACATTTCTAAATGGAGGTTCCAGGAACTGATCTGTTGTCATATTTTTTTCATTGTGGATTTTCCCTGAACCTTGAAAAGGTTTAGAAAACTAGTCTAAGGAACTTTGGGACTTGGGGTTTCAAGATTTTTAAGTGGAGGCTCCTGAGGTTTCAAGTTTTTTATTTATTTATTAAATTCATGCGCCACCCATCTCACTATCCAAAGCAACTCTGGGCAGCTCAATCAGGGCTCCTTGGATTTCAAGATTTTTAAGGAGAGGCTCCAAGAAAAGTCATTGATCCATCTTCATATTTTTCATTGTGGGTTTTCCACGGACCCTTTAAGAGTTAAGAAAACTGGATTCAGAAATTTGAGACTGTAAGGTTTCAACTTGAGGCCCTGGGCTTTTAAGCTGTATCTCTGGAGTGATCTTTGCTTCTAATTTTATACCTGTTGTAATATGTTTGACAAGTTAGCACAATGTAACTCAACTTATTGAAGGCAGCTTGCTTCTCAAAAAGACTTAAAGAACATCTAAGACCGATACTTCTAAAATGATTTTTTGAGATGATTCCAAGGTAAAGTTTAGCCTGGCTGAGCTTGTATTAGAGCACAGAATGAAGGAGAAGTGATATTTAGTATCTGGTTTTCCCCTTTCAGTTTTTTTCCCCTAACTAGCCTTAATAAAAGCTAGTTAGTCTAGAGAGAGAATGGTTATAAGTCTTATATGAAGATTTACAAGTCTTATATGAATACATGCAGGGGAATCTTCAGGGGAATCAAAAAAATAAGGAGGGCAGAGCTGAACGCACAATTGAAGCTATTGTTTCTACTACTGCTGCAGGTTCAGTGTATATGGCGGGTCTTCAGGGGTGAAATGCTCCCGTTTCAGACCAGATCACCTGATCCAGTAGCAATGGTGGCAGGTGGTTTGGAGAACCAGTAGCAAAAATCCCTGCCCGCCCCCATGTCCAGCTGAGCAGCGCGATCATCAGATGCTTTTTTTTTTACTTTTAAAAGCCTTTTTTTCTACAACCTCCTCAGCTGAAGAGGTTGCAGAAAAAAATGCTTTTAAAAGCCTCTGACGATCCCAGCTGAGATGCCTGATCGTCAGAGGCTTTTAAAAGCATTTGTTTCTACAACCTATTCAGCCAAGGAGGTTGTAGAAAAAAATGCTTTTAAAAGTTGGCCACGCCCACCCAGTCACATTACCCCCCCATCAAGCCACTCCCACAGAACTGGTAGTAACAAATTTTACATTTCACCACTACGGGTCTTCAGTCATGAAGTTATGGCCACCATCCTGACTTTCTACAATCATCCTTTCTATGGACAGCTACTAATAATGGTAGTATGCTTAATCTTTTCTGCAAATAGAAAAAAAATCCTTGCATTAAAAAAAAAATAACAATAACTAGGTTGTTAAGGAAAGAGACTGCAAGTGAAATTTTTCAATTAATTTTCTCATTCCCATACACTTCCCTAAAACGCTATCGTGCTAAAGCATCAAGTCCATGGCAGATGCTTTAGGGACTATAAGACTGCAGGCCAAAGAATCCAGAGTCTACTTTTCCTGTCAGTGGATGTTCCCGTTAGGAAAACGTCACTGTAGGGACATTCTCATTGAAGGAAAGTTTCATGATGTGCCTTTGCTTGCAGGCCTGAATAAGAATACTCATAATAATGAGTATTTCAGGGTCCAAATCTGTTTCATTGCTTCTCAATTGCTGAAAAAGGATGGAGCTAAGCGGTAGAAGCAAGCCAACACAAGTTTTTAATATAAAAGAAATGAAAAAAGAAAAAGAGAGAAAGCACAGGCACCTAGGAATGCTTCAGTTCATTTCGCAACCCTGAACTGTCTTCCAAAATAGAAGTAGGCATTTTGGACAGCTGCAGAAGGGGGTGGAAAAACTGTAGGCTCAGCAGAACAGAGCCAAGCTGATACGGAATAGTTTTAAATGTCTTTCTCCTCATAACTAGATTATTCAGTACAATGTCATTTGCTGCCACTGACATTTTCTTTAAAGTCATAAAGGCCCACGCTGCAATAAAAGGGCTGAGAATAAAATTAGGAATATCATGTATAAATTATCTTTAACCTTAGCTTCATTTGGATTGTGACTTTTTAGACCTGATCAATTTTCGTGAAACTATCCATATAAAACAGTGAAAAAATATTTGATCCTTGGCTCCCATAAAGCTAACTTGATAATATCTGGACACTTAAATACTGCCAGTGGTGACTCTCTCTCTGTGGGAAATTCTAGGAAAATAGCAGGTACATCTGGAGAGTAATTTCTCAGAGGGTTATTCCTCGTAAGACAAGAAGGTAGAGTTTAAACAATGATCAGATATGAATAGTCAGCAGTTGCTAATTATAGCAGTTTTATGTATGTAAGCCCAAGTGAATTCAGTAAGATTTTTGTCTGATTAGACATGTCCCCAAACCATGTCTTTTTTGCCATTATTGAACCAGAGAACAGACTACACAGAGATAGTGATCTAATTTTTCTTTCATATAGTACTTATTTATTTAACGTATTTATGTGGCTGACCACCTGCCAACCCTGAATAGTAAACAACAACAGCAACAATCACAATTCATAACGTTAAAAAGTTGCATAAACAAGAGATAGCATTTTAGGCTCCAAAATAACCCCTCATAGTAATAGCGATAGATTGACGTGCACCCTCAGTGGATCCATTTGTACTCTGGCCCCAATGCCAGGAGAGGAGACAGATCTTTATGCTATCAGAAGACCAGCAGAGTCACAGGTATCCATATGTCAGGGAAAGGCTGTTTCACAAGATAGCTAAACAGGCAAATTTCCGAGGACTCACCAGGCACACTACTTCCCTGATTGGAGTTCAGAGCAGGCCCAGTTTGCGTGCTCTCTTCAGCAACACACAAAATAAAATTCGAACGATACAGAGAAGATTAGCATGGCCCCTGTGCAAGGATGACATGGAAATCCATAAAGTGTTCCATATTTTTACATGTGATAAAGCAAAGAGATATTGGAGTAGGATTCATATACTACTGCAGAAAATTATTTAAGTGAATATAAAGATAAAACCAGAAAGTTTAATGGAAAAAGACTTGGAAAAAATTTGGAACTTTAATATTATAAATGTTGATGGCAGCAAGACTACTTTATGCACAAAAATGGAAGGACATTTCAATCCGCACAATGGACAGATGGCTGCAAAAGTTGATGGAATTAGGACAGATGGGCTAAATTTACTGCTTTGATCAAAGAAAAAATGTAAGTATTTATTTATTTATTTATTTATTTGTCCAATTTATATGCCGCCCTTCTCCGTAGACTCAGAGCGGCTTACAATGCATTATTGCAATAGCCTGCATACTTTTTTGTATATACCTGCTTATTAGGGCTTTCGGCCCCCCGAAGTGGTATTGTTCTATACAAAGTTGGCTTATTGCACCCACAATCTGGGTCCTCAATTTATGTACCTCGAAAGGATGGAAGGCTGAGTCAACCTTGAGCCTGGTGAGATTCGAACTTGCACTAATTGCAGGCAGCTGACAGCTAAGTACTTTGTTTCTACTTGGAAACCATTTCTGGACTTTGTACTTGAGGCAGAAAAAAAGTGAAACTTTAATTTTTGGTTTTACTGATTAGAAAGAATTGTTATAGAAATGGCTAGTTTATACTATTATGGAAAAGTAAAAAGTTGAGGTTTGATGTTACTGTCTTATTCTACTGCACCAGAGGGAGTCAGAAGTCATCACTTTTTTTCTTTCCCCCCTTCTTTTCTACACTTCTTCCTTCCTCTTTCCCTCCCTATTTTTCCTACAATTTGCTTTTGTATTTTTGTATTTTATATTATAAACCGGGTGTCATATTTCAGGATTCAGGAAGCATGACATCTCTGTCATGGCACCTGATATATAGAATAAGGTCCTCCATGGGATCCAGATATCTCTCATCCTTTTGGTATTCTGAAAGGCTTTAAAGATCTATAATGTATCTGAGGTACAATACAGTATAAGTAACCCTCTTGTTGGATCTTCTGGTGTAGCTGTCTGGGTCTGCCATTTTTGTTCTCTTATTGGTTTTTGTTGAGTTTATTGTAATTTCTTTGTTGTGACATATCCAAAATTGTTGATAGTCAGGCAGCACACAAATTCATAAATTATCATTAATACATTATTATTACTGCATTTCTATTTACTTTGTTATATTTGTGTTGCTTTTATATTGTGAGCGGTCCTGAATCAGCCTGGAATCAGACAGCACCACAGTTTATAAGCAGATAGATAGATGGCATATACTGTATATAAGGTGATAGCAGATTAATGGTTTTGGACCTCTCTCTTCAATGAGATGGACAGTTCTCTGATTAGTGTACATAAGCCTGTAATTACATGATTGATTTCTCCAGGATATTTAACTTATACAAGAATGGGGAGAAAAAGGTATTTTAACTTATACCTGCAGGTTCATTTCTCTCTGTTTTCTAATTTCTTACCTGCTTTATGCTGCTTTGCTAAAGATAAATAGAATATTATAACCTGACATCTCAGCAAGTGACAAATTTTAATAATGTGTTCTCGACAGCAGGGGACTCCAAACTTGGCAACTTTAAGCCTGGTGGACTTCAACTCCCAGAATTCCCCAGCCAGCTTTGCTTTCTGGGAATTCCCAGCTTTCTGGGAATTCTGGGAATTGAAGTCCGCCAGGCTTAAAGTTGCCAAGGTTGGAGATCCCTGCTCTACAGGTAATGCTCATTTATAATCACAACTGAACTGGAATTTCTATTATTAAAAAAGGTGATTGTTAAGTGTCTTTACACAGTTTTTAAGCGAATCCAGTTGTTTTTTTTTAATTTGATTTATATGCCGCCCTTCTCCGGAGACTCAGGGCGGCTTACAATGCGCTAAGCAATAGCCTTCATCCTTTTGTATATTTATACAAAGTCAGCTTATTGCCCCCACAACTGGGTCCTCAATTTACCTACCTTAGAAAGGATGGAAGGCTGAGTCAACCTTGAGCCTGGCGAGATTCGAACCTGCAGTAATTGCAGGCAGCTGGTCTTAATAACAGGGTGCATTAGACCACTGTACTACCAAGGCCCTCACCCATTAGCTGTCAGAAGCTTGCTGGGAAGGTCACAAAAGGCGATTACATGACTACAGAACACTGCAACTAGTTTTTAGTGCCCAAATTTTGATGATGTGACTGTGAGTTGTAAGTTGTACAACTGCAATGGTTGTAACTGCAAGGACTGGTTGCAAGTTGTAAGTCACTTTTTTTTCAGTGCTATTGTAAGTTTGAATGGTTGTAAATAGAGGAATTTTGCTGGTTTTGTTGTTCTTACCAAAGTGTTTGTTTCTTTTTAAATTCAGATGTACTGGTTAGCATTTATTTTTTATTCTTTACCCAGTTAAATTCCCCAACACCCAAAGTGGTAAAAGAGGACATTAAAAGAAGAACGCAGTTAAATTTTCCTGGGATGGCAATGATTAAAATGTTGCTTTTTCCAATTTTGGAGCCAAGTCAAGCTTACTCCTCTTTCAGTAATGCTAAGTAAATAGTCTTCCTTTCTTATTATTGTATGCCACAGTAAGAATGTAGGGAACTAGTATGTAAAAAACAGCTCTGGACAAAACACTTTGGCAATGATGAATCTTTCCTCTTTCCGGCATAAACAAATTCACCCTGCCATCACATCGAGCCCACTTGAAAGATTTGCTTTCCCTTTGCAATTCTAAGATCCTTAAATCATCAATATGTTTGCCAAGGAATCCTCAAATATGGATACACTGAGGCACTGTGTCTGAACATATGTTTGCACTGCTGATAGCTGTAAACTATGATAAGTTTGTGTTGCATATTAATGGAATATTTATACATGGTAATTTACCAAGTATGAGTCATTTATCTAATAAAAATGTTAATTACAACTTCCAAGGTATATTTATTTACAAATTGCCATGGAAAGTACAATAAAATATCATTTTCTTCCCCCCCCCAAGAAAATTCTCCAACCCCTCTTTTTAATTAGATTTCATTGCAAGAAGAATTTAAGAATTATATGACACCAAAGCTACTCTACTGATTTTGTAAATTTTAAGGAGTTTTAGGAGATCTAAAAATATCGGTTTGACTGAGATAGCCACAAATACCTCTGTTGCAGAGAAAGAGAAAAATGAAATGATAACAGAAAAAACATTGAAGATTTGAGGAATTATTAGGAAATGGCCTAGTTTGCCATTACAAATATGTTGTCTCCACAGAAAGTTAGTCATGCTTCAGGCTGCAATCTCCTACACATTTACCTGGGTCTGGGTTTACCTACATTTAATTAGGTCTATTTTTCTACATAAAGTAGATATCCCTAGGATTGTATTACTATGTTTGACTAATTAAAGAGTCATGATTAACAGAAATCCTATTGATTTCAACTAATGTATAATTTCTGGATTTATTTCAAAGGAACTGAAGCACAATTAACTTTTGAAAGATTGAAAAAACCCAGAGATTATTTAATAATGTATAATTTAATAATTAGTTTAATAATTAAATATATCCCAAATAATATATTTATAAAGTAAAGCTTCAATACATAGAACTATAAAAATATAAAAAGAAGAAAAAAAAAAGAAATTGAAAGAAAAGAAAAAAGAAAAGAGAAAGAGAAAAGAAAAACAGAATTAATTCTACAAAGATGTTTGGAAGTGGCATAGCAAAATACTGTTACAAGAAATACATATCTTTGCACAAGCCAAGTTGGACCACATTCCCATTTTTAAGATATTAAATATAAAAAATTCTTTATTAAAATTATTCTAAATCAATAAACTTTATTGCAGTCACTAGATCAATACCCTGCTGCCATACCCAATATAACTTAGAAAACAGTATAGAAAAAAAATTAGTATATTTTGTTTTGATCTAAAAACATCACAAATATTTCAAAATATTCTGCTTGCCAAGATAAACTCAGAATATGATCCCATGTTGTAGATCTTTAAAATTTATCCACAGTAAAACTAAATTTTGTAAGATTTGAATAAAGTCTGCTACAGATTGAACTTGCTCAGCCTTATAAAAAAAGTTTAAATATTATAAAATGTTTTTATACGGAATAAGGTCCCTTCATCTGAACATCTTTAGTTATAGGATTGTTTATCAAAATTCTCAAGCCAAGTGACTTTCTTTTCATGTGAATCAGTCCCTAAGATTTTAATTCTGTCATTTTTTTCTGATTGAAAGAATCAAGTCTATTTTAAATAGTTGTTTTTCTATATCCACTGTGTTCTCCTTAAAAGAAATTGTTAATCACAAGGGAAAAAATCCTTTAAAAGAGGTAAGCAACTCCACATATCTAACTTTCTCTGTAACTCTCCTGTATACTCTTGTGCATCAGGAGTAATTCTGTTTCTGGCTGTTCTTCAGTTCCAAGTTTCTTTTCCTTTCACAGGAGAAGGGAATTATTATTCCTATTATTTTCCCCTGAACTTTGTACCCATAATTTATTATCATAATCATTCAAACAAAGAAAAACAAAATAGTTTTACCCTTACCAATTAAATAATAAAGGAGTCAAAAGATGAGAAGATAGTCCATTACATAGGCAGAGAACTGAGATAATAAATGCAGTTCATCACATAGTAATGCAAAAGTCAACCTCAGAACTCTCAGAACCTGCAGAGGAAATATTGAAACTTTGGATCTGGTTCAGAAATTTACCAACCAGGGAATATGTCAGGGAATAAATTACTGTAGATTATTCATAGTCTTGTGAATTTCTGTTAGACATATGTATTAAGTATCATCCCTCTCAGCTATTAACTAGCTAATAGTTAATATTACTATTAAATACCTCTAGTGTCTATTATATCGGCTTTATGAGAAGAACAACAAAACTCTCTTTCATATAATATCTGTGATAGAACAGTGAAATGTGTTAGTAGGACAGTTAATTGGCTCCCTCCTCAAATGAGAGAAGCAGATTAGCTGCAAAGAC